CAGGAGGTCTCAGCTGCGGTTTCCTCGTCTCTGAAAGGGGAAGAGCCTAGAGGTCTCGGAAGATCTCGGTTCGGTGGCTGCGCAGAGAAGCTGGACCCTGTAAAGTCACTGACGACCAGCTGTCTCAAACTGTAGAGGTGGCGATGTGTAAGCTAGCAGTGAGCCTTGCTCAGTGTCACCTGCCTGATCTCCGTTGTTGCCAGGATAGCCACCCGCACCCTGAGAGAAGACAGGGTGCTCTTTTCTCCTCGGACGCCAGGTTCGTCTCTCGAGGAGCCGAGTACACTGTCTTGTGATTAGAAGACGTGGCTCTCCGTTGTACTTGGGATAAAGTGCGTCCCTCCCTCCTCCCCCCGCCCCCGTGACCCCCGGCCCGCTGGTGTGGTCCCGAGGATCTCCCCCTGCCCCCTCGGGACCCTCCACGTCCACTTGTTTGTTGTCTGTGTCCCCAGCCAGGCTGGTAACTCGTGTGGGTGGAGACAGGCAGAACCTGCTTCTCGACTGGCTGCTGTGCACCGGGCGCCTACCACCCCACCTAGCCCAGGACAGGTTCTCGGTGGACACTGGTCGGGTGGAGGCGGGAAGTGCTGGGGGTCCAGCCGGGGACAGCACCTCAGCCGGGGCGGGTGGAGGTGTCGATGCATCACGGAGGGTTCTTAAAACCACAACGGTTTTGTTATCTCTCCTGGTTCTGGGGTTGCCTGGGCTCAGCTGGGCAGTTGTCACTCAGAGTCCTCACAAGGGCTGGTGGCCGGGGCTGGGGCTGGCCCCAGGGGAGGAAAGCTTCCTGGCTCCCGTGTGGCTGTCGATGCTGGCTGGGACGCCTCTGCCAGCCTGTCCGTGTGGCTTGGGCTCCCTCACAGCGTGGCGGCTGGGTTCCAGGAGTGACTGTCCCAGCACATCCCAGGGGAAACCTGAATTGCATTGTATGACCTTGCCTTGGAAGCAAATGGAGGCCCTTCTGCTAGTCACAGGCCCGGGCAGATGCACAGGGAGGGGCGCAGGACCCTGCCTCTCGAAGGGAGGCACATCCACGCACTTGGAGAGCCTGTGGGGTGGACGTTTGGGTGCAGCCGTCTTGGAGGAGGGATCTGCCCCAGCGTCCTTGTGGGTTGAGCTCGGAGGAGTGGTAGCTAGGAGTCAGACGCTGCCCGGGGGGCGAGGGCTCCTGCCTCTGCGTCTGAGAGGCCAGGGACCCCCCGAGACAGGATGGGCAGTCCTCCTGCTGGTGAGCGGGCTGTCTCTGCCACTCGAGGGGCCTGGGCAGGACCCCAGGCCAGGGCCCCTCTCTGCTGGGACCGAGTCTCCAGAGCGTGGCTTTCCGTCCGTCTGGTGCTCCTGCCGTGACTCGTCTTTCCCCGAGTGCCCTTGGCCAGCTCACCATCCTTTTCCTTCGCCCCCTCGGCACAGCGGAGGGCTTTGATTGATGGAAGCATCCAGAGTGTTCTGAACGAGGGGAAGGAGAGCCCCAGGAACCCCATGACTAGTGGGCTTGCCCCTGAAAGTCGAGGTTGGCGCAGGGGGAGGCGGAAATCCATGCAGTCTGTTCCTGGGTCAGTTTTGAGGAAGTGGATTTGGGGGTCCGGAGCCCCGTGGGGAACAGGCTGCCGTTCCCGCCGCTCCCCGCTCTGCCCCTCTGCCTGAGCTCCCGCTCCGACGGAGGGCCCATGCTCAGACCCTGCAGGCCCGCACACCGCCGCCCCGGGGCCGCACCGCGGTGGACGCAGCAGGGCTGTGCCCTGTTTCCCGCTCTGGACAGCGAGCGTCCAGTCAGCCTGTCTTAGTTTCCCCGCGTTAGTCGGGGCCCTTGGTTGCAGGAGACGGAAAGCCGGCTCTGGTGGAGAGGGAGCCCAGAGGGTCCTGCAGGGGCCGGGGGGTTCCGAGGGCACTGGGGCCTGGGCCCGGGGCGGCCTGCGTGCTGATGGCAGCCTGCTGTTTTCTGGAGGGAGGCGAGGCCGCCTCTGCCGGCCACAGGCTGACCCAGGGCGCCGGGCGCCCTGCCCTCCTCGCCTGCTCCCAGGTGTGCTGCCCCAGCCCCGCCCGGCCGCTGGCTCCTTTTCCCTCCTCTGCGTTCATCGCCTCCTGCCTCCCTGGGGCTCAGCTTCCTAAAGCCGATGGGCGGTGAGGCTCCCACTCGGCAGAGGCCCCCCCACCCTTCCTCCCCCACCAGGCTTCGCCCTCCTCCTTTGCGCCTGGTCCTCGCCAGCCCCCACCCGTGCTACTGCAGTGCCCCGTCTGGCTCTGCCTCGCAGCTCTCGTGGCCTCGCCGTCCGTTGGTGGACTTTCATTATGCTGCACGTGGACTGAGGGGCTCTAAGGGGTTTCGGAGTCACAGAGTCTGGGTTTGAGTTTGTAGTTGTATCACTTACTTGCTGTGTGAGCTTGGATGAGTGACTTGACCCCTCTGAGCTTCGATTCCCTTGTTTCTCTTATGAAGAGAATGCTTACACAGCCTCTTGAGGTTTTCCTGAGGAACCACTGAGGAAATCCTTACTATTTCTAAATTTTTAAACTTCATTTTATTAAATATTCTAATCTTTTTTTGGCAAACAGCTTTAGTGAGGTATAATTCACGTACAATACAATTCACTCATTTTAGTGTGTACATCAATGGTTTTTAGTGTATTCACAGAGTTGTACACCCATCACCAGTCAACTTTAGAACATTTTCACCTCCCCAAAAGAAACCTCATCACTCCCCGAAGCTCCCCATCTCCCCAGCCCCTCGCAACCACTGACCCACGTTCTGTCTGTGGATGTGCCTGTTCTGGACGTTTCACATCAATGGAATCACACACCGTGTGTCCTTTTGTGTCTGGTTCTCTCACTGAGCATCGTGTGTTCAAGGTCCGTCCACGGTGTGGCTGTGTTAGGGCTTCGCTCCTCTTCGTGGCTGCTTAGTGTTCCATTGTTTTGTTTTGGTTTGTCTTGTCATCAGCTGGTCGACATTAGGGTTCTCCCTGCCTTGAGCTTGACGAGTAATCCTGCTGTGAACGTTCGTGTGCGAGTTTCCGTGTGGACGTACGTTTTCTTTTCTCTGTGTGTTGGACGGGCGGAGAAGCTCACTTTCCCCTTTCCCTCCTGGGGTCTGTGGCCGGGCCCTGTGATTTAGACGGACGAAAGACAGGTTCACGAGAGAGAAACAGGCAGAGATTATTAGCACGTGCAGCGCCCATCACGAGGGAGAACTCAGCGATGAGTACCCCACAGGGGTGGTGGGGCTGGGGCTTCCCCAGCGTCTTGACGAGAGGACTCGAGGTCCGCAGAGGAGGATGCGCAGAGGAAGAGGGCTGTGAGCATCCAGGGCGGCGAGTGTGGGAAGCTCCGTGTGCTGGGAGCTGGTGGAAGGCAGGGCTGGTAGGCAAGGCCTGTTTGTGCCGCCTCGTGTCCGGGACGGGGTGGTGCTCCCCTCGTGTTCGGGAAGTGGGGGCGCCCTCACGGTTTGTGGTCGGCTTTCAAGCAGGTGGGGGGCAGGGAGCTCACCCTGTGTCTGCTTCTCTCAGTTGCCTTCAGCTCAAAATAATCCTCACGCCAGAGCGGGGTGTTTTGGGGTGGCGTACTCTGAACCCCTTCGGTATATGCCCAGGAGTGAAATTGCTGGGTCGTGTGGTAACACTGTGTCACCTTTGGAGGAACTGCTGGGCTGTGTTCCAAAGTGGCTGCTCCGTTTTACACGCCTGCCTGGAGCGTCCACATCTTCCTAGCCCTCGTTATTATCTTTTTTTCTGTGAGGAAGATCGGCCCTGAGCTAACATCTGCCAATCCTCCTCTCTGTGCTGAGGAAGACTGGCCCTGGGCTAACATCCGTGCCCATCTTCCTCCACTTTTTACAGGATGCCGCCACAGCATGGCCTGACAAGTGGTGCGTAGGTCCGAGCCCAGGATCTGAACCCGCGAACCCTGGGCCGCCGCAGCGGAACGCGCGCACTTAACCACTACGCCACCGGGCCGGCCCCGTCATTATCTGTCTTTTTGATCATAGCCGTTCTGTGATTGTGAAGTGCCGTCTTATTGTGAATCCCTGACGTTGAGCAGTTTTTCACGTGCCTGTTGGCCGTTTGTGTGTCTCTTTGGAGGAATGTCTCTTCGGATGTTTTGCCCATTTTTACGTTGGGTTATCTTTTTATTGATGAGCTGTAAGAATTCTTTATAGATTCTAGATTCTAGCTGCAAAGTCCTTTTGCAGCTCTGTGATTTGCAAATATCTTCTCCCATTCTGTGAGCTGTCTTTTCACTTTCTTGACAGTGTCCTTAGAAGCACAAAAGTGTTTTTTGGTGAAGTCCAGTTTATCTGTTTTTTCTTTCGTTTCTTATGTTTTGGGTGTCTTATCTAGGAAACCAGTGCCTAGTCCAGGGTAGCAAAGATGTATTGTGTTTTCTCCTAAGAGTTTTACAGTTTTAGCTCTTGTGTGTAAGGTCTTTGGTCCATTCTGAGTTAACGTTTGCGTCTGGAGTGAGGGAGGCATCCAGCCCTGTTTTTCTGCATGTGGCTGTCCAGTTGTCCTGGCACCACGTGTGGAAAAGACTCCTCATTTTGAAACCTGGGGTTGTCTTGTCACCTTTGTTGAAATTCCCTAGACTGCAAACGTGTGGAGTTTTTCTGGATTCTCAGTTCTGTTCTTGATCTAAATGTTTAGCTTTTTGTTTTGATTCCTGTGACTCTGTAGTAATTTTGAGGTCAGGTGGTGGTCTTCTGTTTTTAAGATGGTTTTGGTGATTCTGGGTCCCTTGAGTTTTGATGGGATTTGTGGAAACCGTTGGTTTCTGCACAGAAGCCGCCCGAGGTTCTGATGGGCGTGCGTGGAGTGTGTAGGTCGTCTGGAGAGTGTTGACGTCTTAACAATATTGTCCTCTCGGTTGTGATTATAGGATGTCTGTCCATTTATTTAGATCTTCTTTAATTTCTTTCAACGTGTTTTTGTACTTTTCAGAGTATAGGTTTTGAACTTCTTTTGCTAAATCTGTTCCTAAGTATTTTATTCTTTTTGATGCTGTTGTACATGGAGGTATGTAAATTTCTTAGTTACCTTTCTGGACTGTTCGTTGCTGGTGTGGGAATAAACTTGATTTTTGTGTGTTGATCTTGTGTCCTGCAGCCTTGCTGAACTCGTTTATTAGTTCAAATGGTTTTTAGTGGATTCTTTAGTATCTTGTATGTCCAGGATCATCTCCTCTGCAGAAAGAAGCCACTTTTGTTCCCCCTTCCCAATCTGGGTTCCTTTGGCTTCCTTTCCTGCCCTGGCTGGAGCCCCCAGGACCGCGTTGAGTAGAGATGGTGAGAGCGGGCATCGCGGTCGTGTTCTGGGTCTCGGGAGCATCCAGCTCTCCCCGTAAGGGTGGCGTTGGCTGGGGTTTGGGGAGATGCCCTCTGTCGGTGAGGAAGTTCCCTTCTGTTCCTAGTGTGTGGAGTGTTTTCATCGTGAAAGGGCGTTGGCTTTTGATAAATGCTTTTTTGCATCTGCGGAGATACTCACGTGGTTTTGTTTTTTAGTCTGTTGACGTGATGTGTCTTGTTGACTTCAGGGTGTTAGACAGTCTCGGGTCCTGCGTGGGTCCCACTGGTCGTGGTACAGTCTCCTCCGTGTGTTGCTGGACTCTGCCGGGAGGTGATGTTGGTGTTCGTGAGAGATGTTGGTCTAGTTTTTTGCTGTTATGAACTTGTGAACATCGTGATAATGGGAGCTGTTGCAGTGCTTTTGTTTGCCTTTTTAAAAACTTTGAGGTATAATTTATATAGCACGAAATATACCCATTTAAACTATTTAATTCACTGGTTTTTAGTATGTTTACAAAGGTTTGAAACCATTACCGCTATCTAGTTGTAGAACATTCTGTCACCCCAGATGAAGCCCTTTCCCCATCAGCAGTCACTCCCCATCCCTTCCTCAGCCCCCAACAACCATGCACCCACGTTCTGTCTGTGGATGTGCCTGTTCTGGGCATTTTACATCAAGGGAATCACACACCGTGTGTCCTTCTGTGTTTGGTTCTCTCACTGAGCGTCGTGTGTTCAGGGTCCATCCACGGTGTGGCTGTGTCAGGGCCTCACTCCTTTTCATGGCTGCGTCCGATTCCAGTGTGTGGGTGGACACATGTGTGGATCCGTTCACCTGTCGATGGGCATTTGAGTGTTTCACCTTTTGGCCGTTACGAATCATGCTGCCATGGACGTGTGTGTTTAGTATGGACGTATGTTTTCGGTTCTCTTGGGTCTATACCTAGGAGTAGAGTTAAGTGCTGGGTCATTTGGTAACTCTGTGTTTGCTTTTGGAGGAATCACCAGATTTCTCCACAGCATCTATTTGCCTGTTTTTTTTTGGTGAGGAAGATTGGCCCTGAGCTAAAATCTGTGCTCATCTTCCTGTATTTTGTATGTGGCCTGCTGGCACAGTGTGGCTTGATGAGCGGTGTGTAAGTCCGCGCCTGGGACCTCAACCCGTGAACCGCGAGTCGCCAAAGCGGAGCACGCGAACTTAACTAGTATGCCACCAGCCAGCCCCTGTGTGTGCCTTTTGAAGACTAAGTTCCTGGAGGCCGGGACCCTGTGAGGGGGCCGTTGTGTCAGGCACGGCCGTCAGTGCGTGCCAGCTGGGCGTGTGCAGCAGGGCTATGTGTGGGCTTGGGTCGCCTGGTCCCTGTGTCCCGGGCCTGTGATCACCGTGGCTGGTTGCCGGCTGTGCCGGGCTTATCACCCCCCATGGGTGCTGTTTCCCCACCTGGAGATGGGGGCTTGGGGCTCCGGAGCTGCTGTGTCAGCTGGCGTCTCTGCCCCCTCCGCGTGCGTCCCCTCCGCGTGTGTCCCCCTGGAGCAGGGGAGTCACTTCAGTGACTGCACGCCTGGTCCCCCCCCTCGGTGCTCCCTCCCAGCCCTCAGAGGAGCTCGTGTTACCCCCCTTCCTCAGGTCACCCCGGAGCTGGGCTCTGACCCGGGCTTGCTGTCCGGCGCCCTGCTGTCATGCCCGGCAGCGGGTTCTGCGCCGGCTGAGCTGACCTGCCTCTCTTCCCTCACAGGCCTCCTCGCTGGAGAGGCAGCGTCCTCGCGTGGCCGCCTGCCTCGCTCACAGCCTGTGCCCCGGGGAGCCGGGCTTGCAGACGACAGCAGGTACCTTCCCTGCACCTCCCTCCCCCTGCCCGGGCC